TCTAGGTACCATAGAGGAAAGTTCATCAGAACAAATGCCATGAACATACTTATCAGATTAAGAAACTGTTAGCATAAAACTTATGTTTACATCATGCCATTTCAACTGTAAAATGATGAGACCTTTCAACCAATCTAGTACTAAATTGCTTAAATTCATAAAGTCTAGGTACCATAGAGGAAAGTTCATCAGAACAAATGCCATGAACATACTTATCAGATTAAGAAACTGTTAGCATAAAACTTATGTTTACATCTTGCCATTTCAACTGTAAAATGATGAGACCTTTCAACCAATCTAGTACTATGCTTAAATTCATAAAGTCTAGGTACCATAGAGGAAAGTTCATCAGAACAAATGCCATGAACATACTTATCAGATTAAGAAACTGTTAGCATAGAACTTATGGTTACATCTAGCCATTTCAACTGTAAAATGATGAGACCTTTCAACCAATCTAGTACTATGCTTAAATTCATAAAGTCTAGGTACCATAGAGGAAAGTTCATCAGAACAAATGCCAGAACTTATCAGATTAAGAAACTGTTAGCATAGAACTTATGTTTACATCTTGCCATTTCAACTGTAAAATGATGAGACCTTTTCAACCAATCTAGTACTATGCTTAAATTCATAAAGTCTAAGTACAGAAAGTTCATCAGAAAATGCCATGAACATACTTATCAGATTAAGAAACTGTTAGCATAGAATATGGTTACATCTTGCCATTTCAACTGTAAAAAATGATGAGACCTTTTCAACCAATCTAGTACTATGCTTAAATTCATAAAGTCTAAGTACCATACGGAAAGTTCATCAGAACAAATGCCATGAACATACTTATCAGATTAAGAAACTGTTAGCATAAAACTTATGTTTACATCTTGCCATTTCAACTGTAAAATGATGAGACCTTTCAACCAATCTAGTACTATGCATAGCGGAAAGTTCATCAGAACAAATGCCATGAACATACTTATCAGATTAAGAAACTGTTAGCATAGAACTTATGGTTACATCTTGCCATTTCAACTGTAAAATGATGAGACCTTTCAACCAATCTAGTACTATGCTTAAATTCATAAAGTCTAGGTACCATAGAGGAAAGTTCATCAGAACAAATGCCATGAACCTACTTATCAGATTAAGAAATTGTTAGCATAGAACTTAAGGTTACATCTAGCCATTTCAACTGTAAAATGATGAGACCTTTCAACCAATCTAGTACTATGCTTAAATTCATAAAGTCTAGGTACCATAGAGGAAAGTTCATCAGAACAAATGCCATGAACATACTTATCAGATTAAGAAACTGTTAGCATAAAACTTATGTTTACATCATGCCATTTCAACTGTAAAATGATGAGACCTTTCAACCAATCTAGTACTATGCTTAAATTCATAAAGTCTAGGTACCATAGAGGAAAGTTCATCAGAACAAATGCCATGAACATACTTATCAGATTAAGAAATTGTTAGCATAGAACTTATGGTTACATCTAGCCATTTCAACTGTAAAATGATGAGACCTTTCAACCAATCTAGTACTATGCTTAAATTTATGAAGTTTAATTACAATAGAGGAAATTGATATTTATTTTGAAAATGCAAAAATGTGGAACAATGCTAAAAGAGGGTGGAAGTCGTAGAAGGCTGGTTTTCAACCTGTCTTATCTTAAACTTATCTTCACACAATTACTGACCCAAACATACCAGAATATTCCTCTCACCAAAGCACATTCTTACTTACCATTCTTACTGCAGCCAATATAATACCTCAAAGTCTCCATGAAGTCCTAACTAACTCCCATATGTACAATTTGTTGGGTGGGGGATAAAAAATAACAACTTAAGAAAAAACCCCAATAAATATTTACCATAGAGAAAACATCAGAACAATTACCATGAAAGTATGTATAAAAAAGACACGGTGAAGCTACATTACGGCGACGGGAAAGGAATAGAAGCCGATTTACTAGGTCAGGACCATTAATATTGCCGATTCGTTTTTGGCTTTTATCAAGAATCTTTAAATATATACCAGAAGCACCAGACCATATGTGGCAGCAATATTCTAAGCAAAAGGTATGAATCCTCTTCTTATATGGGTAAATAGCAGGACAGCCTTGGATGGCAACTGGTCTACCGCAGACAGAAATGGCAACCTACTGCGGGAAAAACTGCTTCGTCAGTCATGTATCGAAAGATACATGATCGCCTAAGCATTTATCACGCATGGCACATAACTGAGTCGACTATATTAAGAGCAATCGTTTGTGTTTAATAGATAATTGTTCGAGTTTGCTTATAACAATTCATTTTCAATGAATGGTAACATATATGATTCCAAATTCTTTTCAGAATTTCTTAATCTTGCCTTTATGATTTTTTAGCTTTGCAAATGTCCTCTCACATTGGACTCGAGTAGCAGATGAATTTATAAAATTCTTATCACTTTTTATTGTTACAACATTTGTCTGTTTCGTTATTGCATTTTATTTCATATAAATGGTAGGGGATACGCCATTGGGCAAACGGAAACCCTGGCCAGTCTGGATGAAATTAAAATGATTTAAAAATATTATTCTGAGAAAATGTCACTTGTAAACGTTCAGATAGATGTTAGCGGAGTATGGAAATTTTCGAGAGTTCGCCCCCCCCCCTTTAAAGGGAGCTGCCATTATTCTTATTTGCAAGATGAAGGCACAAAATATAATGTCGGGACTACAGTTATTTATTGATGGCAATAGTAATGACACATTAGCATGTTGTCTGTATTCAACTATCAGAAAATAAAAAGTTCCAAAAATGCCGTTCTAGAATGCTTTGCAAACCGGGAATAAAAACTGTAATGATCACATAAAGGCCAAGCTAATCAGATCTAAAAAGATATCATGCGTAAAACTTGATTTGTCAAATAAGAATTATTTTTTTGATATAATTTAAGTTAAATCGTAGTAACATTTCAAGAATTATTTTTTTAATATAATTTAAGTTAAATTGTACTAACATTTCAAGAATTATTTTTTTTAATATAATTTAAGTTAAATTGTACTATAGTGTACTAATTCATTTTTTTTTTATTGCAAGGTTATGGTATTTCTCTATGAAATGTGTGTCACGTGGGTTTTACGGGGTTTTTTAGATAATCTTTTACTATTCTACTGTTTTATTCTTTAATGTTGTAAAATAACCATAACGACAACGATAGTAGTAATTCTGAATTACTCTATTCTCGTACCAACGCGATACAAATACAAAATACACTTGGCACCTCATAAAAAGTTTTATTTTCCACCAAATCCATGTTCTTGCGCCAAACACAAAAAAACTTAGTTTAATAGGAATAGCAAGTCATAAAAGGCGTAAAATTACAAACAAGATTCAAGGAATGTGGAAAATTTTGAAAGGAAAACACATTTATTACACACGAAAAAAAAAAAAGGTACAAATACAAAGTTTGCAAAAAATTTCCCTTTTGTGCGCCTATCAAGGCAGGATAATAATTTATGATTAAAAAAAAAAATACTATTGAAAAATGGAAAAAAAATACAGTTTGGGAAAAGATAAGAATTTTTTTAAAAAGACAAAATGAGAAAAAGAATTCAAGAAAGCAGTAGTAAAACAAAGTTGCAACCACCTATGAGAAAAAAAAACAACAAAAAAAAACACCTACTTTTATTTGCTTCACGAGCGTCTCTTTGACATATATTAATTTTGGAAATGTCCCTTTTAAAATCACTGTTCGTGCTTGGGAAAATTACTTTAAATTCCTTTTCCTTCTTTGTCTTCGAACCACAGGAGAATTTTCACTTGAACTTCAAAATTCTTTAGTCTCTCTGCAGCTTGCTGGTAACTGGCACCATCTTCAGGCTCTTTGATGTTTAGTTCCCTTTGCTATCAAAATGTCTCTGCCTGTCACATCTACTGACCTCAGCTCTATATATTTGGAAAATTAGGTTCACAAGCCAGCTATCCCACCCCACCCCACAACCACCATTCGGGTTGTTACTGGAGATTGAAACCACGTCTGTTATTGGCCATATACGAAAAAATAATTCTCCATAAACAGGAAAAGGATCTTTTAACTGCCGAACCAAAAAAGATATACAGGTATCCTATATACTATTTTTTTTCCCAAACCGTCTGACTTTCATAAAAATACACTTCTCTCAAAAGAACGTGTATTAACCCTTTGACCCCTGCGTTCCTGAACAATTTGAACCCTTCTACCTGAGCTCCTGAGTAAAAATTCGCAAATAATTGGTATGTAATGTTTCACGGTAAATATAAAAATAGTTACAAATGTTTACCCACCGTTCAATCGGTGGCTGGGCATTAAGTTATTTTCTCTACCACCGGTAAAGCGGTGGTCAGGGATCAAAGAGTTAAAAAAAAAAAATCAACCTAGACGATTAAATATTTATTCAATGCTGACATTTTTAAAATAGGAAAAATAAAATTTTTATACTCTGGTCATTCAGCAGTTTATATAACACCGGAGGAGGTATATTATGTCTTCCAGTGTCTGTCTGTAAAAGTCCCTCATTATCATATGAGACTTTTCATTTCTACTCTACAAAGGTGCCGTATTTTTTATTTTGACTTTTTAAAAAAGTTCTATAAAGTTTTTGTATGTTTTACGTTTTCACTTGTTTGCATTTTTTATTTTAATGTGTTTTTCTTTTAAAACTATTAATTTTGACGTTTTATGTTCAAAATCTTTTTTATATATTTTCCCGACTTTTGTCTATTTTTAATATTTGTTTTTTTGTTGCATCTTTAAAAAAAATGTATTTATATTTTCATGTCGAAGATTTACATCTTTATGTTTCTGTTATATGTATAAATGTATTTTTAATGTATATTTTAATGTATATTTTAATGTATTTTTATGTATTTTTTATATATTTGTCTTTATTATTTCTTTATTTTATTTATGTTTTTTGTATTGAAATTCATTTTATCTATTTTAATTTTTATTTATTTTATTATCATAGATAACAGCATTCCTCTGCAGCCAAAAGTAAAAGACGAATTCAAGTCAGGCTACGTTAAATACAGAAATTCCTATTATAAATACGTGGAGGATCTAAAAACATGGCAAGAAGCAGAAGTTTTCTGTCAGTCAGAAGGCGGCCATCTTGTGTCTGTGTTAAACGTTTATGAAGAAGCGTTTTTATACTTGCTCAACAATTCCGACATTGAAGAATTTTGGATGGGTGCCACTCATAAAAATGTAAGATTTGTTTGTTCCTTGTACAAAGAAAAAAAATATCGATTTCAAGGTCTGAGGCATTTAAATATTATCCACAAATTTCACTTCGGGTTACAATGAATCGCCAAAAGATAGTAGTAAAAAAAAAAAATGTAATTTGAAGAGCTGCATGAATTTAGGAGGCACAGTGAAGTAATGAATAACGGCTCGGATTGAGGAATCGAAGAACCGAGTTCGAATCCAAGTCGAATACAGCTAATACCCTTAGGAATACTCTTCTTTTCCCCCAGCTATGGGTAAATAGCAGGACAGACCGGGTTCTATGTGGTTTGGATGGCAGAAAGAAATGGCAACCTACTGCGGGAAAAATCTGCCTCGTCAATCATGTATCGAAAGATACATGATCGCCTAAGCGTGTATCACATAACTGACTGAATGAATGAATTTAATTCGAATAATTTTAACAAAATCAACACGAATTCCTTGTGGAAAATATTCAAAGTCACAAAAAATTTATATAAAATTAAATTCATTAAATTGACGAAGAATCATATAATTTACTGGTGAAAAGGATAATAAATACCGTGTTAGCATATATGTGTGTGTTTGTTTGCAAATATTTTCAGATGAAGTTTATTTGTAGAAGAGATAAAATTAATAATAAGAGACAAGAGGAAAAACTATACTTAGCCGACGCGTTTCGTCCTGAGGCACTTTATCAAGGTCATGTAGGATTTATTATGCTGCACGTGTTTATTAAGGCTTGTAAATTTGAGAACTTTCATGAATGTTAATCAGGTGGTAGGAAGGTCAGTCAAAGGATGAGGAGAGCACAAAGTGTCCTAATTCAAAGTCTGATGAAAAGTAAAGTGAGCAAGTAATATTCAATATTTTTTTTAATGAATATTGTGTGGATTGTGATTAGATTCTTACGCTGTGGGATGGACATATGCGCTATACATTTTCAAAGGCTGAAATGATGGATACAACGGTTTTCCTTTGATTTTTTCGATGTATTTGTTGTTGTGTATGTTGGCTTGAGAAAGTAGTAATTCTTTCAGGAGAGGTGAGATTGGGAGAAATCAGGTGTAGATTGATATTTTGATAATATTCAATGGCGACACTCGAGGATTTCCCTGCTGAATAAATTACTTCCTCCTTTGATGAGTGTGGCATTTTTTAGATCAAAATTGTGGTCGAATTTATTTCTGTGTATGACCAGTGCATCTGTTAAATTGTTATTTATGAGGACCCTTTTGTGTTTATAAATACGTTTTTTTTTTTAAATTTCTGCATGTTTCCCCAATGTATAAATATCGCGCCATTGTTAAACGGAAGACTTCACAGTTAACTCCTTACTACACACGTTAAATGCTAAAGACAGAGTAGACACAAATGTACACGAATAACAAATGTAACCTAGTGAAACAAATGTAACCTAATGAAAAGTTTTTGTTGAAAAACTTTTACAATGAAATCACTCGCACCCCTTCCCCAATAATTAAAATTTTGTTAATTTACAGTCGAATGAAAAGATGATCCTGCTCCGGCTATATTCTTCTTCTTTTCTGACTTCTTCTTTTCTTTAAACCCTTTTTGAAGAAATGCAATCAAAAATCGACATTTAAAATGCGTTTAAAAAATCATTCATTTTGGCAATATCTGATTAAAAAATGTAATAAGGAGAAAAGCAATGAATAACAACAAAAACCGTAATATAAGCTCTGGTAAAAAAAAAAATGGAATAATAACAGAAAAAATTGCAATATGAGCAGTAGTTAAAACGGTTGCTGAGACATTAGGTTAATAAGTCCCAAAAATTCGTGCACCAATGTCCTCAATGACGCGTGGCCCAGAGGATAAAGACGTTAAATAGATCCGCTGTTGTGAGTTCAATCCCAAACTTAGAGAGTTGAGTTAAAGGGAAATTCCACGTGAACCTTCCTTCGGAAGAGGCATGGCACTTGGAACTAAAACAATCTACCCCGGTGGACGGTTCGATTTCGAAATTTCAATCACCCGAAGAAGGCCGGAGCGTACAACGGCTGAAACGCTGTGAATATGGCAATGAGGATAAAAGTCCGAATGATGCAAGTAGATAAAAAAAAAGTTTGCTATTTAAATAAATTAATTCTATATCATTTTTTTTATTTTTTAAGCGTTTCACCCCAAGCAAAGTGGGAAGCCACTAGCACGCAAGGGGTTACAGAGAGTTGGAGCGAGAGCAAATAGGAGTGATAGAGGAAAGGATGAAGAGAAGGATAGGGATCAAGGCATCTGGAGACGCCGATTGACATTACATTTAAATAGTCGGAGATTATAGCTATCAGGGAAACAGGAAGAGGGGAGGGAGTTCCACAGGCGAGAAGTGCGAGACATGAAGCTATTGGAGTAAAAGAGACGGCTACATTTAACAGTTTCGACAGTGAAAGGGTGAGAGCGAGATGCCAGCCTAGTTAAACGCTTAAATTCATGAAGTCTGGGAACCAGCGAAAGCAGCTCATCGGAGCAGTTACCGCGAAAGTATTTGTAAAAAAAAAAAAGACTGAGAGAGGCGACGGTACCTCTGTTAGAGAGCGATTGCAAACGAGATGCCAGATCAGGGCCAATTACATTGCATATCCGTATGAAAACTTTTTAATTTATTACGTTAAATTCAATCCAAACATTTGAATAATTATATCATCAAACTTTTCAGTGTAAGAATCTTTAGAAAGAAAGTAATGTCTTCCTTTGATTTTATCATTGAATTAAACACATTCTCAGGTAACAGAAAAAAAGCATTATGTTGGATGTTCTTGAATGAAATATTTTGAAATTCTTCAGACTCTGTTTCTTAATCCTTCGGATCATTTTAAATATATACAGCTGCTGTTTATGGAATTTACTATCCTCTTTAATCTCAAACCAGCTAACTGTATGCACTCAAATAATTAATTTAATAAGTTGGTGAAGCTTGTCATGGAGTTCTGAAAGGTCTGTACCTCTGGTCCACATACACATTAACCTAGTTGCTGAAGTTAACCATCTTGCATTACTTAATAGTCCTATTTTCTAGGAAGCAAATGTAGAGTTAACTTTACCTTTGTAAATCCGAGATATTAATTAATTTGATTTGATTTGCATTTTCTCAAATGGAATGAAAATTTAAACGTAAAATATTTTGTGTGTGGTTTTATGATCTCACGACCGAATGATCTAGAATTGTCCAAGAGTCTGGTTTAAAAATCGACCTACCCTAATATTCATCGGCGTACTCACAATCTTTCAGGCACATTCCCTCACGCATGCGCATCTAACGGGAAACATCTGCAAATAAATGATTCGTTTTAAATATCTTTCCAGTCGATCTTTTTTATCAATATATTCACAAAGCAATCTCTGGACGCTTAACTGGATGTCTGCTACATTCACTGCAATCTGCATGGATGACTGAGCCATCGCATTTACAGACTGCTTACTTCTATATTAGGCATTGCTTAATGACTAGCTTTCTTCCGCTGAACAACTTTCTACATTCTATCGATTCTGTGAGTTATGTTCAACTACTTGCAAGTTAACTTTCACAGCAGTAATTATTTATGCTTATATATATATATATATATATATATATATATATATATATAGATAGATAGATAGATAGATAGATAGATAGTAAGCGCATAACGTAAGCATATATACAGAGTGGACTAAAAGTAAGAGGACAATAGGTGGAATAAGTCAATACATCGGTTATATCATTACAATGGTGTTCATTATAACTATGGTATTTGTGGTATATTATTTTAAATTTTATAACTAAATTTATCTAATTTTTTTTCAGATAATTGTATTAGTAAATATAATTGTATATGTAACCTCAAACGAATTTTATCATTTACTGTCTACCTACTTTTGGACTACTCTGTATGTATATATTGATTAAAAGAAATAACGAGAGAAAAAAAGACTTATTTTTACAGTCAGTCAGTTATATATGATGTACGCTTAGGCGATCATGTATCGAAAGATACATGACTGACGAGGCAGTTTTTTTTCCCCTCAGTAGGTTGCCATTTCTTTCTCCGGTATACCAGTTGCCATCCAGAACTATAAAACCGGTCTGTCCTGCTATTTACCCATAGCTAGTGGGAGAAGAAGAGGATTCATATCTTTCCCAAGGGTATTAGCACGTAAGTGAATGTAATGGATTCGACTGGAATTCGAACTTGGCTCTCCGGTTCCTCAACCCGAGCCGCTATCCATTATGCCACTGTCGAGGAACTTCGTCAAGGCAGATGTAGAACTCTATTAAGAAACCTGTATTTATATTGTTGTTGTTGGCACCTGCACGCATTCGATTCCTTTCTCTCCCCTGGTGTCGATGGCGGAGATGGCTGTGAATCAAAGAATGCTCTTGTCATTGTTATTGTTGTTGCCCTTAATAGGGGAATTCCACTATCTACTTCTCTGTGAAATAGAGGCAGGAGGGAATGAGTGAGTCACTTCCTTTTTTTTTTCATTTATATATATTTTTTAATTTACTTTTAAACAGTTTCAAATTGCGTGTTCGCTAATAGGCAATAATTTTCAATGAAAAGTTTTTGATGAAAACCTTTACAATGAAATCCCTCGCACCTTCCGGGCTAATTAAAATTTCGTTAATTTACAGTTGAATGAAAAGGTCATCCTGCTCTGGCCACATTCTTCTTCTTTTTCTCTTTCTTTTTCTTTACTTTTGTGAGGGCCGGTGTCAGTCACTGAATCAGGACTTTCAAAATGATACCCAAGTGCGGCCAAAAGCGTGACCAAAATCATTTTTCCGCCAGTGAGGATTTTCACATGTTGGCGAATCTTTTAAACCCTAAAGTATCAAATATTTATATACCATATTTTAGAAATACGATAGATTTCCATTAATAAGTGAGACCATTTCTTACATAAGGTTTTTGTTGTTCTTTTCCTAATCCTTAAATTTAACTTATTCTCCCTTAATTCTTAGCCGTAATTTATGCACAATGTTGATCTGGATGTACAACAACGTATTCGAAAATTAAAATTAATCTTTAGAACTATATATATATATATATATATATCATACTTATTATAAAACCCAGGTTGTGTGTGTGTGTGTGTGTGTGTGTGTGTGTGTGTGTGTGTGTGTGTGTGTGTGTGTGTCTGTACGTTTATATATTGGATCGGATTCCTACATTTTTCAACCGATTTCAACAAAACTTCACAGGACTACGTAAAATTACTTTGCAGTGGTTCTGACAGCGCCAAAAATTGGAAAAACTCAATGGTATTTGCACGAAATCAATTTGTAAACACGATTAAGAGGCATCACGAGAATGAAAGGGGGACAACTCATATCAAGTTATACTTATTATAAAACCCAGGTTGTTTGTGTGTGTGTGTGTGTGTGTGTGTATCCGTTTATATATGGGATCGGATTTCCTACATTTTTCAACCGATTTCAACAAAACTTCACTTTTTTTTGGCAGGTAGTGTTTCTTATTGTCTTGCACATTTTTTCTTTATTTTTACATTCAGAATGCTTTAAAATATACAGGCCAAATGTACTGAGCCTAAAAATTACATTGAGGTAGGAAACTGTCAGTCACCATACAGTGTTGATTCCTATATCCTCAATGTCTAATATAAAGACTTTATCTCTGATATATATATATATATATATATATATATATATATATATAACTGACTATCGGTAAAATAACGTGAGCCATTAATCCGTATTCATCTTGATTCCTCTTCTTTTATTCTCGCTCTTTAATAATATTTTTCTTATTATTATTTTTTCTTATTCTTTCACACTTAGTGTCTTAGTCGCTTTACTGCCTTGATTGGGGTGAAATGATTAAAAAAATCACTTATCAAGTACATAAAATCGATTTAAAAATAATTATTTTACATCTAAAAAAATATTTAAATACTAAATATATTTTTCTTAAAAATGTCAAATACACAGAAGCGTTTTGAAATGTCCAATAATCTTTCAAAAACTATTTACACAAAAAGCCGATTAGAAAGAAAATCTTTTTCCAAATTTAAAAAAAAATCGCTTTACAGAAATATTTTATATTTTTAAAAACATGGTGTTATATACATTAGAGTCCAAGTTTCAGGCGAATCCTGGTCATTTTTTAAATTGGCCCCAAAAGTAGTTGTTTTGTATTTGAAATAAGAGAAAATTATTATACGGTTAAAAGTGATTTTTTATTAGAAATTTTATTATGACAAAAAGACAAAAAGCATTTATGATTAAATTTTGCTCTCGTCAAAATATCCTCCTTTAGCCTGGATTACTGCCGCACAAATTTTTGGCATTTGTTGCAAAAGTTTCTCAAAGTATAAGTTTGAATTCCGTTCTTTTTTTCAGTGACCCTAAGAACTCTTTTTCATTGTTTTTTGTTTGTTTTTTTTTTTTTTGTTTGTTTGTTTGTCTTTTTTGTTTGTTGTTTTGTTTTGTTTTTTTTGTTTTTTTTTTTTTCACTATTCTGTCAAGTTCATCCCATGCTAATTCTGAGGCGAAGTGGGTGGGGGCACCGGACTTTTGAACTGTAGTCTATAAATGGTTACTTTTTTTTTTCGTTTTTCTTTCTTTTTTACGCTTTTTACACGACAATGTTCATTTAATGTTTTCATTGAAATAATTTCAGTGCATTCATTTTGCTATTTATTATTTATTTGTAAAAATTTAATCCTGTCGTAAAATGACGGGTTATTTAAGTAATACTGCAATTTCATGGTATTTATAAAAATCCCAAATTTTACTTGTGATTTTCTTGTTGATCTATAACCAGCCGAGGATCTGTTAAAAAGTGACATGACTGTTTATGTATGGATCGGCATATTTACCGTAGAGTTTATATACGTTTTCTTATACAATGAACTCTTTCATCACATGTTATTTTACAGTCGAACAGAATTCTGCCTTATAAAATTGTTCCAAGAAAAATATCCAAAGAAACTAACCCGAAACAATATAAATTGAAAACAATGGATTTACGATCTTGTTGTTATGGTGACGGGGAATGGAGTGAAATCGTGTTACCTACACAACGGAATACATCATTATCTGAAAAGAAAAAGAGGATAAACATTTGTTGATGAATGATAATAAATTGTCCAATTTTTTCAAAACTTTTTGTAGAATGGATAATAAGATTTGCAAAAAAAAAAGATTCAAATTTTACATAAAAATAGAAAACTTTGATAGCAGTGAAATAGAAGAGAATGATAGATAGATAAAGTTACAAGATAAAAAAATAGAAATAATGAAAATAAATAGCATATTAGATAGATAGATAGATAGATAGATAGATAGATAGATAGATAGATAGATAGAAACAGAATTAGATAGATAGATAGATAGATAGATAGATAGATAGATAGATAGAAACAGAATTAGATAGATAGAAACAGAATTAGATAGATAACCAAGATAGATAGATAGATAGATAGATAGATAGATAGATAGATAGATAGATAGATAGATAGATAGATAGATAGATAGATAGATAGATAGATAGAAACAGAATGAGATAGATAGATAGAGAGATAAAGAGAAATAAAGTGAGAGATTAAGCTGGTGCGAATATTCGGAATTTTACAAATGTTAAACTCTCTGTGAGGAGGGGATATAACATTGCAGCGAAAAGTTACAAACAAAAATATGCAAATATTGAAAATACGTGTTGTATTAGATTAAAGACAGATAGATATAATCACAATCAGAAGATAGATATGATCAGAATCAGATATTTAAATTGATTGATATGATTAGATTCAGAAGCTAGAGAGAGAGAGAGAACATTTTATCGGATTCATAATCCTTTAAGCCAGTCTTTACTATCTTGAGCTTCACTGGGATGTATATTCTTTTTTGGAGAAAAATCTACCTGGAACTTCTTTATTCCAACCACCCCTTTTATTAAGGAATGTGCAGGACTTTTCCTTCTACCCCTTCATTTAGGTTCCGAGCATTTTAGGACAACGCATTTCATTGCCTATTTGAAACTCAAATGCACTAAGAATTTTATAAATAGTAAATTTTTTTCCAACTTCTTTGTGAATTGAACTAACCGAATTTCAGATTCCTCCTCATGGCGGCGGCTTCAGTAAATATGCCTGGTTGATTCTTTATTTTACGGCTTACCAACACTTTGTAGGTTATTTAAAGCCAGGAAATATGTTTAGTTTGTAAATTATTATTTTTTAGATAATGATTTAATGATACAAGTCTTACTAATTAGTTCATAGCTGGGGGAGAAGAGGTGGGTTCATACCTAATTAGAATTTGATAAAGAAACAAGAAACTATATGGACATAAAGTAGGGGATCAATTCTATATTACAAATAATATATAAATGGTTCCCTCATTTTGTGTTCACATTAGTTGCTATTCATTTATATCCCAGAGATTATATAAAAACACGTTTGTTACATTGCCATCAGCCAGTGAAATACTAACTAGTTACAAAGGCATGTCTTTTAGATTTATTTACAATCTAAAAGACAGAATTTCATCGATTTATTGATTCGTTTTCAATTATTTCTAGGTTATTTGAAGCCAGGAATTATGTCTAAATTGTAAGAATTTTTTTAGATAACAATGATTTACTGATACAACTCCTACTAATTAACCCATAGACACTACACATTACGCCACATCCAAGCTTACATGATCTTTTATTCTTTAAGTACTGACCAAGGTTCGACGTTATCGTACGGAAACCGATGTTTCAATGTGATATGGCCATAAGCCAAAAGTAAATGTGTAAAATATAAAAACCATAAGCAAATTTCAAAATTCAGAAACAAAATATGAAGAGAAAAAAGGTTGATGCTGATGCTTGGTTAATTAAAACTGATGTTAGACAACCATTTTGAATTTTCGTTTAATTGAAATTAGATCGATGAAAAGACAATGTTCGGATATTTTATGTTATTAAAGTTTGTTCTTTATTAAATTTTATAAATTATTATTAAATTTTAAATCAAAGTTTGTTTTTTTATTAAATTTTTGGCACTTTTTGAAATTATAAATTTTAAATCAAATTTGTTTAGCTTGCCTCGCAACAACTCCAACCCTGTGAATGAAAAATTACCAAGAATCAGGGAGTTATTTACATTTCGTAAATGCGGGTGATATTCGAGGTACTTACAAGGAATTTTTTACAATGTAAAAAAAAAAAATCTGTTTTTGGCTTGTTATCGGGGTGAGCGCGAACGTTGACCCCACAATTAGAAATAGCGCATTAGAGTTGCCCACATTTGGGGCAATCGCAAAGGTCAACCCGACCAGAGTACAATGGAAGGGCATCACTCTAGGAGAAATTGGTGTGAATTTTAGTAAATATAAATTCTTTTTTATTTTGAGGTGAATTAATATTTTGGGTTGAATTAACAGAAAAGATCCCGAAGATCGAACAGCTAATTATTAATCTCTCTTTTCTTGTTTCTTTGATTTCAGGGTACCTTTTTCTGGTCGGACAAATCCTTAATGAGTTATACTGATTGGTTACCGATCGAAGAATGGGAAAAAAATCATAATTGCGGCCTCTTTCGAAAGATGGAAAAATGGCATCTGGCAGACTGCGAAAATCACTACGCATCAGTGTGTAAAATTTCCACAGGTAAAAGATAATCACTTTCTGTTATATTAAAAAAAATCCTGCTTACTCTTGAGGCAACAATAGGAACAGATAGATTCGCCTATTGCCCTGTTCACACTCCTCCCGGTCTTTCGAACAGGACTAGAGGTTTATCTCTTGTTTCCTCTTCAGGATCAGGCTTCTGGTTTCTCCTAAAGCCTTTTTTATTCTTTTATTTCCAGTAGCCGCTTGCGTCTTAATGGCATTATCGCCTTGCTTGGAGGTGAACTGATTAAAAGAAAAAAAAAATGTTTCCCAGTTATGTACCAAGATCAGACTAGTCTGACACAAGGCTACGGAGACTCTTATTGAACACGACCGCATTGTTATGAGGTCTTTAAATTGTCCAAGGTCCCTTGCTGTAAAGCAGTGATTCTCAACCGCCGTCCGACGGCACACTAGCGTACCGCGCGAGCCTTTTAAGCGTCCCGCGAAATATTGTCACGGCATCCATATATATATATATATATATATATATATATATATATATATATATATATATATATATATTTGGGAGAGGAAGTAGTAATTATACAGTGTGAGTATTTGAATAAATGAATAAGTATTAAACTTTTTCAAATAATTCTTTTCACTATTCTTTATGTTATTTTATAAACTTTATTTTAATATTCACTTTTTAAAAAATATTTTTATTCTTTTAACTTATTAATTTTTTTCTTTATTTGAATAAATGAATATTAACTTTTTTTTTCATTTATTCAACATTTTTTGTTTAATTGAGAATTTATGGTTTTCTTTCATAACTTCTAAATGTATACCTTTTAAAAATTGTGTGCTGTGATATTTCCATTTGCTTTTAGGTGTGCCTTTGCTTAAAAATGTTGAGAAACGCTGCTATAAAGTTATAAGTAAAATCATCTTGCAAACCTTTACAATTGTCGCAAGTGCCTTCCTCTTTAGATCTTCCCCAATGGTGGCTTTGTGCCAGATGATTGTAAATGGTTTGGTTCTTGATACGCTAAAATAATTATTACTTTAACTATTTTTCTATTTTTTTGTGTTTGTGTACACACACATACATACATACATACATATATATATATATATATATATATATATATATATATATATATATATATATATATATATATATATATATGCACATTTCATTGAATACGACAGACAAGATGCTTTTTTATACAATTTCTCGTGCGATCTAATTTTTTTTTCTTTTCAGATGATAAATTATATAAAAACAATCCGAATGTTCTTTTAATCCGAGCATGAACATGGACACAATATATTGACCGTGTTTTGAAAAATGAAAACATTATATAAATACATATATGCGACAAACTATTGCTTATTTAACCGTTAAAATATTTCATCCTTGAAAATGGCTAAATGTATAGCCGAAAGCGCTCAGATTAAAAGAACATTCGAACAGTTTTTATATGTAATTTATCATCTGAGAAAAAATATTAGATCGCATGAGAAATTGTATAAAAAACTAAATCAAAGCACCTTGTCTGTCGTATTCAATGAAATGTGCATGAAAGAAGGATTGCTGCCTAAAACACACACACACACACACACACACACACATATATATATATATATATATATATATATATATATATATATATATATATATATATTACCTTAACGGGCGGTATTTAAGCTAGCTTCTGCGATGGACTCTTGATTGAACCTATATCACAATAGGTAGGAAGGAGTAGATGTGATAGGCAAACATAAACCACAGGACTCAAAACTGATCACTGCATTTAAGTATTGCATTAATATTTAAGCTTACCTTTTAAAAGTTCAGTGATAATTCTTCTGCTGCCACTTAATTTAAAGACAATTTGATGTACGTAGGTCCTTACTTTCCATACAAACAATTATTTTTATTTCATGGGTGACTTTCGCTGTCTTTCGCAATTAATTTTGATTATTCCCAAATTTATTTCCAAGTTATAAAAATTGTTATTGTACAAAAAAATTCGTCGCAAAATCTAATGTAAAAAATCGCCGAAAACAACCGCAGTAATGAAAACTTGGAAATCCAAAATTTCAGGATTGCAGGTCCAGATGCGACCCAGAATTTTTTTTAATTTGCTTCTGGAATTGGCCTGATTCCAAAATGGTATGATATGTTGAGCTACAGCCTCTAGGAGTAAAGTTGAAAAAGTTTGACACAGTGACATTGACATTTATTATGTAGTAGTAGATGAGCTATTGAGAGTTATGTCCCTTTAATTGAAAAAGTGTGACACACTGATATTGGCATTTATTATATATATATATATATATTCATGGGTGACTTTTATATATATGGTCGATTTGTCAAGTATGTGACGTCCCCGATTGCGATACTGCTGGGAAACACTTGAAAACCATAACTACAAATTGACCCAAACCATGTGAGTGAAATTTGGTATGGGAAACTGTTCGGAAGCGTTGATTGATTTCACAAGTCATCGTGACTGAGGCTTTGAACGTGCTGGTCTTGTTCAAACTAAAGTCTGTTCAGCATAGTTGTTGTATAAAGCACAGGTTGGTTTTATGAATATTAGAGAAACACAAAATGTGACTGAGCAGGTGTTTCCAACAGCGATTAGGTAGCCACCCAGACAGACGGACAAAGAAATGTATAGGCTTATCAGTACTTATCACACTACTGAGTTAAGATTATTTTGAAAAATAGATATTTCTAGAGTAGAATATATTAGGTACTTCCACTAATTCGCTGAAAAAAACAGCATAGCATGATTAAAAAAGCCCCAAACTTAATAAAAACAAGGTTTTATCGTCAAAATGTTTTTTTATTAAGAGGAAAGACCAAAGTATTTTTTATTATTTTATTCATCCTTTTTAGAAAGTTCGAAATTTTTGGTGAAAAACTTTGTTTTTTTTTTATTATTTGCTTCAGCGGTCGGCTTAATTTTTGCTATTGGTGTTTTGTTTTTTGTTTTTTTCGGTAAAAAACACACCGATTTGGAAATTCTTGCAAAAATCAAATAATTGGCGAATTTTAATGAAAATTTTAGGACTTATTCACAATTGAATGAAATTTTTTTTTTTTTTTAGAAAATCTTGGTAAAAATAATTTTTTTTTACAAATGTTATCTCCAACTTAATTAATTTCATGAAATTTCGAGAAATTAAATTTTAATGGTAAAATTTATTTCATTAGTTAAAAGTAGCACTCCTTGAAGAATGTAAATCTCATCTTTTTTTTCAAACTGCGACCCATTTCCCGAAATTCTGCTCTGAATCGTAAAATAAAAAATGCAATAAAAAATTGACATTATTTCATTAGAAAAGCTTCTAATTGCTTTTATAAATAAGATTTATTAAGGACGCTATTGTGTTAAGAAAAAAAATTTTTTCAAGGAATAATGAATTTTTACAAGATTTTTTTTTATTTTAATTATAATAATTTGTTTAATTTTTAAATATTTTCCAATATTTTTAAAATTACTGATTACTTAAAACTGATATTAAAAAAAGGTGCTTACATCATTTTCTTAAATTATGTTTTACAGATAAAATCTACGCAGGACAACAATCATTCTATCATTTAAAAACTGTCAGTTAAAAACACGGCTACTGTTTGCTTAAAAAATTCATTTCTGCTATATTTTAAACTTAAAGTAAATAACATTTGTCTCAAATCAGATTAATTATACTTTAAATCGGCTAATATTCCTCAAATTATGCTTCAGAAAAGTATATTTTATTTTTGGAAGATTTTTCAATAAAGAGACTTATATTGTGATGAAAGACGGCTCAAAAAAAGGGCGCTAATCAGCTAGTTTAGAAAAACAAATCGATTCTAATCAATATAATTTCTGCTATAAATACACCAGAGTATTATGCTTACTGCAAATAATACATTTAATCCTTTAGCTTTCAATTAAAGCTAAAATAAAAGCTTCAAGAAATCTTTTTCCTTTTTAAAAATCCATTTTAACCTTTAAGTATCGTGAATTGTGTTGGTCCGTAGAATATATATTTTTCATCATTGGTTGATTTATTGTGTATACGAATATATCAATGTTATATATTTTTGAAAAAGATAAAAATTCAGGTGTTTTTGTATTTTTCCAGAAAATACAACCAAAGTGAAAGAGTCAGTGGTGACGAAAACAAGCGGAAGTTGTCCTGAACGGTGGCTGGAACATGACGACAATTGTTTCCTGATGATAAATGACAGAACAAGATCCTGGCCGGAAGCTCATTACGAATGCGCGCAGATCGGTGCCAATTTGGCCAGTTTCCATTCAGAAAGTGATGTGGCCTTTTCTCAACAAAAAGCAAAAATATTTTCTGTCTATCTTGAAGGTCTTTGGATTGGGTTAAGTATCCAAAACGGTAAGTAGCAAGAATTTATTCAATACTAATTCTTTACAATGCGGCATTTGTTTGTGTTTTTTTAGGCATTTTGCTTCATTACTTTTAATCATTGAATCATTTAGACTAAAAGGTGTCACATCATTAAAACCTATCTTCCTACAAACAACCCCAAATCAACGTATTATTAAGGTCTGCATGGGAAACATTCACAAAATCCAATTTACAGGATGTTGCAGCAAAATTCGACACTTACAATGAAAAAAAAACGAAATAGACAATAAAAACAAAAGTTGTATATGCAGATACCTGACAGTTTATTTAGAAACAGTTAGAGATACATACTACATTATTTTTCAATGTAACCGCCGCTGCCGGCGACGACCATCTCAAGGCTAGCGCGAAATGTTCACGGCTCTAAATGTAACACACGCGTTCTGTTTATTTACTCATACGTCAGCCATCAAGTCCCACATAAAATGTTAGTACGCAGCTCTCATGTAGTGCACAACTCACATCGGAAACCTCAGGACAATCCGAGAAGACAACGTGTACGGTTTTTCCAATATCGTTACGTTCAAATATAGTTCGCTTTCTTTTCTAACCATGAAACCCGTGTTCGAATCTCACCATGGGCGATTTGTATGAAAAACATACCGCTGGCTGCCCCAAGAACTTGGGTAGACGGAAATGTTCATATATATATATATATATATATATATATATATATATATTAAGCACATAACATAAGCATATATACAGAGTGGACTAAAAGTAAGAGGACAATAGGTGGAATAAGTCAGTACATCGGTTATATCATTACAATGGTGTTCATTATAACTATGGTATTTGTGGTATATTATTTTAAATTTTATAACTAAATTTATCTAAATTTTTTTTTCAGATAATTGTATTAGTAAATATAATTGTATATGTAACCTTAAACGAATTTTATCATTTACTGTCCACCTACGTTTGGGCCACTCTGTATGTACATATTGATAAAAGGAATAACGAGAAAAAAAAATTTATTTTTACAGTCAGTTATGTATGATGCACGCTTAGGCGATTATGTATCGAAAGATACATGACTGACGAGGCAGATTTTTTTTCGCGCAGTAGGTTGCCATTTCTTTCTCCGGTATACCAATCGATAGTCGTCGATGATTGTCATGGCACGAAGTGAGATGGTCTCGTGACATATCATTGTGACCTGCATATTGTCCTTTAAAAAAATAAGACTATACGCCTTTTCCAAGAAACCGTAACTAAGGTTTGCTCAGCATGGTTGCAGTAAAAACCCAAGGTGGGCTTTGTGAAGTGTTATAATAGAGGTTGGCTAGCCACTCTATCAGAGGGGGTGTGCTCAGAAAACCTAATAGTAGCCGGCCACTATGTTCCATCAAGAATAATATTAATGCATCTTTCAAAGGGACACCTCCAGTTACGAAAATGTCAGTTTTATTACGTCTTTTTTCCCATCTACCTTACTATGTTCTCCTTAATCTCGCCCACATCCTGAAATATCATTTTCGATACAAGGAATAAAATATTGACTACAATGGTGGCCACGGATCTAGGAATACGATGTTTACAAAATGCGTGTGATGTAAAAAATAGCATAGCACAATGTTATGAGGAGCGTGACTGTCACACAGTGCACAAGCTCATTTACTAGCGTCTCACTGCCAACTGAATACACCCACGGAAGAGTATCTGTTCACTCATGCGTAATAAGACACTTTTTGATTAGTTGCAATGTAATATAGCGATTTTCCAAGCGTAGCTTGGATGTGGCACAAGGCTGAAAGTAAGGGGCGCCCAGTGAGGATCAAACTCACTACTCAGTCGTAATTGTTCTAGCGAGACAAGCTTGCTAACCATTACAATAACTCGAGGTGCCCAAGTTACAATGTTATATAAAGGTAGTATAAACAGTTCTTGAGATATTTTAAATAGCTGGATACTTTTCGGACCACGATTTTTTTCGTTCGTCAATATTTAATTACAAATTTTCTATTTGTTACAGGTGCTTTAGCTTGGTCGGATGAGAGTCCAGTCAATTACGAGAATTTCATGTATGGAGACACAAGCAATAAAGGACATGCAAGTTACGCGACCGGCTATTCGCTTGATATCAACCGAAACATGAGTCGAAATTGTGTATTAATTGATATCAGGACTGGACTTTGGCGGAGGGCATCTTGCTTCTATAAGCTCGGCTTTCTGTGTATGTCTCCTAAAAGTAAGACTTTCTAAACTATATTTGATTATAAAAGACGAATCCTATCTTGAATAATTGGAAGGAAATAAGTGCATAAAATAATTTATCTTACTATCAATTTAACATGTTTAATAAATATAACTGAATCTACATTATTTACATTCAGACTAACATCCTCATCTTTGTTGTTGCTATCACAAAGTTTCGAGTGTTTTACTCCTCTGCCTTCTTCCTATGTCTGCCGATCCCGGTAATATTCAGGAAATTTCAAACAGAATCCTTTATTTAATCTACAGGGTTAGTTTGTTCTCGCTCCGTTGTCCATGTCTAAGAATATCTCGCTTCGTTGTCCGTGTCTAGGGATATCTCGATCTTTTGTCCGTGTCTAGGGATATCTTGCTTCGTTGTCCGTATCTAGAGATATCTCGATCTATTGTCTGTGTCTAGGGATATCTCGTTTCGTTGCCCGTGTGTCGAGATATCTCGCTTCGTTGTCAATGTCTAGGGATATCCCGATCCGTTGTCCATGTCTAGGGATATCTCGTATAGTTTTTGTTTTTTTCGTGCATCTCAGTTATTGCTCATCGTGTTTACACTGAGTCTAACTCTGCACTACCCGGACCAGAGATTGAACTAACAATTATTATGTCACCAAATTGAGGAGCCAACGCTTTAATTCGTCTATTGTTTCGCCGAAATTCGAAATTCCCTGAAAGCTACCAGGCTTTGGGGAACACAACTACTAAAACATTCGTCCGAATTTAAATTACATAAATAATAATAACTCCTCTTCCTAGAAACTCAGAAATTACTGAATCTTTTTATCTATTTTGAATGCTATTAAAAATTGAATACTTTGAAAGTTGTAAAAGAGAAAAACTATTTTTTAATCTTGAGTCGACCATAATAAGGATGCTATCTTTGTATCGATGACAAGAAAAAAAAAAAAAAAAGAATACCGTTTTCTTTACTGAAGAATTTTACTTCGATATGCACGATATGTATTTAACAACAGCCAAACATTAATTGTCGTCTGCTATGGGAAATTGTGCACCAAATAACCCCATATAAATTGGCAGTTTATTATATAGCTGAATAAATTAGCTGATGCGTCTGATTGCGCATTTCAAAATTTTGAGAAGTTTTACTAATTCAATGGATACTGGCTGGTGGTTTCTAACGAAATTTTCCTCTTTCTTAATACATTGGTTAGCTTTTGGAAGCCATCTTTCGCTATTACAACTTGACTTCTGATTTCAGAGACGCATGTTCCGATCTCTGTTAAAACATTTATATAATAAATGTGAATGTAAGTGTGTTGGTGTGTCACACTTTTTCAATTAAAGGGACACAACTCTCTAAATTTCAATAGCTCATCTTTTTCTTCTATATAATAAATGCAAATGTCAGTGTGTCACACTTTTTCAGTTAAAGGGACACAATTCCTCTTTTACTTCTATATAAAAAGTTGAAATAGGGGTAAAGTGGGAAAAGTGTGATGCAGTAATACTTTTTCAACTTTACCCTTAGAGACCGTAGCTCAACATATCATACCATTTTGGAATCAGACCGATTCCGTGAGGAAATTAAAAACATTCCGGACCGAATCCGGATCCACAATCCAGAAGTTTTGGATTCCCAAATTTTATTTACTGCGATTGTTTTCGGCGATTTTTTACGTTAGATTTTGCGACGAATTTTTTTGTACAATAACAATTTTTATAACTTGGAAATAAATTTGGGAATTAATTGCGAAATCCAACGAGTCACCCACGAAATAAAAATAATTTTTTATACGGAAAGTAGGGACCTACGTACTTCAAAATGTCTTTAAATTAAATGGCAGCAGAAGAATTATCGTTGAACATTTAAAAGTTAAGCTTAAATATTAATGCAATACTTAAATGCAGCGACCAATTTTGAGTTCCTCTCTAGTTTGTTTTTAACTATAGCATCTACTCCTCTCTACTTATTGTGATAAAGGCCCATTCAAGAACCCTCCGCAGGAGCTAGCTTAAATGCCACCCGATAGGGCGGCTTTTAAGCTAGTGTCCAATATATTTGAATTTTTTATACTTGTTTAAATTTGGTACCTCCGATTCCTAGTTTACATCTTGGGATGTACCATTTGTAAACAAATATATATTCTGTTTTCTTACAATTCTATCTTCTTTCTCCTTTACGACCTTTTGTAGGAGTTCCTGTAATTTCTTTTCTGTGTCTGCTATCAACATTGGGACATCAACATATTTTATGTTGTTAAGATTGTGACCTTCAATAATGAATCCTGGTAGGATTTCTAATTCTCTTAGGATTTTATTTGCCAATCTATTATTTTGACCTCTAAACAATATAAAATACGCAGATGACACTGTGTGGATGGTAGAATCGGAAACTGAAAGTAGATTTAGACAAAGTAGTAACAGAAAGCAAGACGAAAGGACTAACTGTAAGAAAAGAATAATAGGTCATCAGCAAAAGTGTGTGAGCTACATGCTGGGAATATCAAAATAAACGCAACGGAAATTGGAACTCAGCTCTCCGGCCAGTACCTAGATGGATAACCGTTTTGGTGTGCGGGTGGTGTAATGGATAATTGCTCGGAATTGTTAATCAGAGAGCCGAGTTCCAATTCCGGTTGTGTTCATTATATTCACTTAGGCGCAAATATCCCCTGGAAAGGCATGAATCCACATATATCCACATCCAATCAAATATCTCTTGCCACTGAGAGTTACCATTTTTCCCTTTATTTTCCAGTGGAATCACGAACTGTAAATGATGTTTTGGAGACATCGACATCTAAAATGCGAAGACCAGTCAAAGGTAAGCAAAAATATTACGAGACAAGACACTGTAATACCAGGCAAAGCAAAACATCTATAAGACAGTAAGAAAATTAAAAGTTCACAAAATAGAAATAGTGTTCATTTACATAATTTACATAACTCGATGATAAAGCTTTTAAAATAAGGATCATAACATTCATCGAGTTATTTGTAGGTTAATGCACCTTTATAATTTTGTTTGCGAAGGGATTTCGCCATTTTATATCATTAACTTTACTAATCTACTTTTTGTATGAATGATTCATTCTAATATATGTATGTATGTATGTATGTATGTATTATTGTAAACTCTGTCTGGAGGAGAAAATAGCTATAATTACCTTCACAGGCCAACACAAGATACTAAATAAACGATCAGAATTCATCTGAAAATGCAAACACGAAAACAAAATTTTACGATGTTACTTGAAAATTGAAAACTGAAAACCAACAAGAATAAAGAAAAATAAAATAAACAAAAATAAGTCAAATAAGTTAATCCAAACAAAGAACGAAATAAACTAAGTAAATAATTAAGAAAGCACAAATAAACAAAAGTAAATGTAATAATAACAATAAAATAATCAATAATGAATATAAAAGTTAACAAACCAAACACTATAAATAGCGCAAAGGCTGCATTGAGATCCACAATTAAAGTCAATCAATAACCCCGTGAATAATTACATAACCATTATCGCCCACCAAAATTACCTTTAGAATAGACCACCCACAATTCATCACTGACATGTATATATAAATAGTCGAACAAAAACACAATGTATATGGCCGGACAATTGCACTTAGCATGAACGACTGTCGCCTCTTTGTGTTGAATTATATATATATATATATATATATACAGTCGAACCTCGGTTCACAGATTTAATTCGTTCTTGAAAGCCGTTCGTAACCCGAAATGTTCGTAAACCGAAACTATTTTTCCAATAGAAATCAATGTAGAGAACAAAAAGTCACAGTACAATAAAATTGGAAAAGAAAACCACGACACAACACAGGAATGTATACGACACGGCGGTCGACTCAGAAATTATTCCGTTCGTGTTAAATCGGTTCGGCAATGTTGTTCGAGAACCGAAATATTGTTCGATAACCGAGGCATTTTCATCTCGAATTTTCTGTTCAAAAACCGACATGTGAGAGGTTCCTCTGTAAATATATATATATATATATATATATATATATATATATATATATATATATATAAATTAGATAAATTAAATATGTTAAATATATATATATGTGTGTGTGTGTATGTGTACACACACACACACACACACACATATATATATATATATATATATATATATATATATATATATATATATAATTTAAAGTTTGTCACTTAACTGACTGATGTTACCTTCAGCTTCCTGACTCCAGAGTTTCGTAGACGGACCCTCCAGAAATATCAGCCGATCTCATTCGGTTTTCTAATGCATTCTTTTGAGGTTTTATCATTATATTTTTTTAATATCTCACACTGCAACAACAGAATATTTTTAAGAAAGGTGAAATGTTGACAGAACCTTAATGCAAATTTCATGGAAGATCCAGAAATCAGTACACTTGCTATACATTTTTCCTTTGCACTGATTTCTGATTCTTCCGCGGTTAATTTACATCAAGGCCTTACAATAACTGAACCATCTAGGAGGTTGTATATATATATATATATATATATATATATATATATATATATATATATATATATATCGATTTAAAGAAAATGAATTTCTTTTGTATGACCATTTTTTTTTTTTTTTTTTTTTTTGCAGGACCTAGGTACCTTTCGGCCAACGCTTCATCAGGGTCTTTCGTTGGCAAATGATTTTAAACAAACAATGAAAATGAAAAGAACGCCAAAATGGTATGGTTGGAACACGTCTAAAATTTTACGAAGATATATATACGTAAAATTAAAATAAATTTACGATTAAAATAAATGCGTAAATAATGAATTAATAATAATGAACCAACCTGAGCAGTAAAATAGAAAAATAAGTTGCTCATATATCAAAAAATAAATTTAGCGATCGTGAAAAATTCTCCTTTTGTTTAGAAAGCGATGGTTTAAATAATTTGAGACAGATGGCTTCCAAAATAGACAGATGATATTTGGACCTGCCTACGCATATAATTGAAAACGAGTCCATTGTGAAACGTTTTGAGCATGACTCATTTTCTAATAGGTGTTGCCCGATCCATACCATTTTGGCGTTCTTTTCATTTTCATTGTTTGTTTGGAATCATTTGCCAACGAAAGACCCTGATGAAGCGTTGGCCGAAAGGTACCTAGGTCCTGCAAAAAAAAAAAAAAAAAAAATGATCATACAAAAGAAATTCATTTTCTTTAAATCATTATATTTGTTTTTGGTATCAAAACATTGGTATATATAATATATATATATATATATATATATATATATATATATATATATATATATACTTAGTTTCAGGGGAAAACGATTCTTGCTAATACCTAATAAATAATCATCCATTCCATTTTGATTGCGTGAGAAGACAAATGACATATCAAAGGCGCTACTTGGTTTCAGTGAGAAAATGAAAGAAGGAAAGGAAGATAGAAGTGTTTAACATCTTTTTTGGTGGAATGGAAAAAGTTGTTAATTTCAAATCTTTTTATTTGTACCCCCTTACTTCTTAAAATAACCGTTAGTATTCATATTTTGATTGTTATTGCAATATTTTGTTAAAGTTGTTAAGCTCAAATATTGAACTATGCGATTGAGGAATCTCTACGTATATTTTATTGTCTTACAACTCGCCATGAGCTTATTCAATAAGTAACTGAATAATTAAGATTCATCAGAGATTTCAAATGGAAAAATCGCGAAATTTTTACGAGTTAGAACTAGTAAAAGAATTATCGAATTATCAACGACGTTGATCGGTACTAGCTGATACCTAAATATGCTACAATACACACCAATCATTAACTCCTCAAAATGCTGGTTAGCTATTGTTAAAGTGCTTTTGTAATATTCTGATTTCTTGTTTTAAACATTACATGATGAAATACACCAAAAACCTTTTTTCCTGAATATCTCCTGCTGAAATGTGGGTGCTCTGATACATGTATATTATGTCGTTAAATACGATAATTTGAGTGTTGTTTTTTTAATACCAATTGTTTACTATTTTCTGTGACTTTTTTAACAATCTGTTTTCTCTCTTTCCAGAAAAGCCGATTGGTTTAACAACAGCCCAGGTCGTGGGAATCATTCTTGTCGTGCCAATTGTAATGATTTTATCAGCCATAATAGCTTATTTTGTTATCAAACACAAATCTGTTAGACTGACCACAGATGGACAAGGTTTCGTGAACAGTCTGTACGAAGCACCAAACTTTATGGCCCTTAAAGAGGATATTGAAAAAAACCCGAGTTGATTGAAATAACTTTGGTGGGCCGAGGTTGCTATGCGATTCAATGCAAAGAAACAAACTCAGTGACCCCAGTTACATTTTTGTTATAATGTTACGGTGGACTTTTAACAATTTAAACAAAGCAACTTTCTCTGCAACCACGCTCGCTATAAACGAGAACAATTTCCACACTTTGAAAGGAAAATATCCTTTAAGGTCCAGTTAATCAATTTCTACATTTAAAAAAAAAAAATGAAAAGATATATAAATTTACGATATAAAAAAAATCTGTCGTCTTTGTTTCATTTTCGTGTTGCATAAACAAAAGGAATATTCTATTAACAGCTTGACATTGTCAAAAATATTGCAAAAATGTTTGCTTAACACGGAATTCATCTTTTCAAGGTTCATGCCGAGATCTTAGCTAGTAAGAAAACGGATTCTTAAACGTGCTGTAGTGGTCTATTTGTTTTTGTCGCCCCATGTCAAACGTCCGGGTTACCATATGTAGTGGTATGTTAATATTAATAGACCATTTGTAGATGTCTGTTTATGGCTGCGTGAATAACATGACCACACAATTTATGTTTAACGTAAAATACCACAAAACATGAAATACAAGAAGGAACAAAATGGTTTTAAAAACATAAAATTTGCATTTATTTGTGTACAGGGTGTTGCAGCAATATCCGACACTTGACAAAAAGAAAACGAAATAGGCAATAAAAAAAAAGTTGTATATGCAGAGACCCGACAGTTTATTTAGCAACAGTTAGGGTTACATACTACATTATTTTTCAATGAAACCGCCGCCGGCATCGACGACCATCTCAAGGCGGGCGCAAAATGAGTGACACGCTTTGGCGATCATGTCCTCTGTCCTTAGCGGTGAATGCCTCCACGATGGCAGCCTTCAGAGAGTCGACCGCGTTGTAGGCGTGCTTGTTTAACCTTGGCCTCGATCACGCCCCAGAAGAAATAGTCAAGGTGGTTGCAGTCAGGTGAGAAGGACAGCCAAAAGTCCGGCGACCAGTGGTGAGGAACATTGTTGAGCAGCTACGCCTGGGTCGTCTTGGCCTTGTGTGCAGGAGCGGAGTCCTGCTGGAAGACGTAGGGGCGTCCGGCGGCGATCTTGTCCAACCAGGGCTTCATCACGGTCCTCAGCACCTCCTGGTAGATCTCAGCGGTGACTCTCAGGCCCTTTTGAAAGAAGTACGGAGGCATGACGTCCCCCTCGCCGCACAAAAGGCCAAGACGACCCAGGCGTGGCTGCTCAACAATGTTCCTCACCTCTGGTCGCCGGACTTGTGGCCGCCCTCCTCACCTGATTGCAACCCCCTTTATTTCTGCTAGGGCGTGATCGAGTACAAGACCAACAAGCATGTCCACAAGACGCCGTTATATACATGGTCGCCAAAGCGTGTGACTTATTTCGCGCCCGCCTTGAGATGGTCGTCGCCTCGATTTCATTGAAAAATAATGTAGTATGTAACTCTAACTGTTATTAAATAAACTGTTGGGTTTCTGCATATACAACTTTTGTTTTTATTGCCTATTTCATTTTCTTTTTGTCAAGTGTGGGATTTTGCTGCAACACCCTGTGTATTGATGTACATGCGTAGAAGTTAAAGATCTGTGGGTGTTATGTCCCTTAGACTGTGAATATTTTTATCTGAACTCACAAAAGTTGAATTAATTATAAAGCTGAAAAATGCTGAATAAACTATCTTTAGAAGAATATTTCAAAGAGAAAAGTTCTTGTTGCTTGTTTGGAAATGTTTCGTATGTTTATAATGTTGGTTGGAAAAGTTCGTACGTACGTAAATGCGTAAATATGCTATTAACGTCTGACCGCCCATGGTCGAAACGAGAATCCTGTTAGAACTACATCTTGTAGCGAGAAGAGAGAAGAAGAGGAAGCAACAAGCTTGTGTTTGCTATTTATAATTAATGTAATCACGTGATAGGCTCACAGAAAATGGCGGGAAAACTTGACTTGGTAACGCGCTGGAAAAATATTTGTACGTGGGTGGATTGCAACGCCCACTTGTGTGTTTGCTGACCAATTAGAAGCTGATATTTCCTGAACATATTTGCTAAGCTGAGTAGGCTCTCTGATCCACCTTTTGCACAAAAATGTACAAAATTCAACATTGATAAGAAAGTGGTAGCGGGATGCTACAGTGTAATTATTATCAGAGTATATCAAAGTACATTCGTTTTTTGTTTTGTTTTTTTTTTTTTTTTTTTTTTTTTTTTTTTTTACAGATTTTACAAATATACACATTTAAAGACAATCTATGACCAACACTATATTACATATATATATATATTGGGGTATATTAAAAAAATTTCATTTTGGCAAATATGAACAAACGTGTCCGCAATAAGACGTGGTGCCAAAAGGACGCTTTTCCCTTGACACCGCTATTATTATAACTATCTTTACTCCTCGGCAATGTTTATTGTTTAAAAAAAAAACCATGATTAGAATTCTAATAAAACCTAAACATATGATGAAAGTGAATTTATATATTTTCTTTGTTCTTGAGAATTTATAACAAAATAATAAACAATATTTAATTATTCAATTATTTATTCACACTATTTATTTATTCGAATAATTGGCAAAAACGCCGACTAATTGCCAATTGATTCAAATTTTATAAAATGGTAAATAAGGATTTTCTTATAGTTAGTTCACAAATTTTAATAATTTAGTAAATGTTTATAAATTTATGAATACAAAAATATTTTTACATTTATTTTTTATAGATCGGTAAATGATAAATATTGCATTGCATTAGTTTTAATTGTATTAAATTTTGGAATGTTTTATAAAATTAATTTGGTAACTAAACTCTCTAAAAAATAATGTTTAATATGTTTGTTCTAAATTCTCAAAAAGAAAAAATGTAAATTCACTTTCATCATATATTTAGTTTATATTACAATTTTAATCGTCGCTTTTTAAAAAGTAATAAACATTACCAAAGAGTGAAAGTCGTTAAAAAAAGCAATGTCAAACGGAAAACTGTCCTTTTGACACTAAGTTTTATTGCGGGCGCGTAAGTCTCTCTTCAATATTAGAGACCTTTACTCCAAAATATTTTTCATTTGCAAACCTAAAGACTATTTACGACTTCATAACATTATCATTATTATTATTATTATTTGAAGCATTGTCAAGGATTATTATTTTCCCTAGTATTTCTTACATGATAATTTTATTTTAATTGTAACTCCTCAGATCGTCATTGTAAGACTATTACTAAATAACGCAGATATAAAATAAAGTATAAGCTGAAGGCAAAGCTTGAACTTGTCTCTTTCCTCGGAGACTTATCTTACCGTGAAAATTTCTTTAAGTGTAAAAGTGCCATAAACCAAAAATGGAGAAATACTATCATATCTGGTCTAGAGCTACTCAACTCTCCTTTCCCAGTGTCGAAGAATTCAGAGTTCAAAATAGTCTACGCGGCCTTGTGATGAAAACACTGCAACTTCTTTCTCCGGAGGCACAACGTCGAAAGCCTGCCGCTAGTCCAACGCAAATGTTTAGACAGCCTCAATTCCCTGAATGTTACCCGGATATTATGCCCTATCAGGATTCATTATTAGTGGCCACAATCTTAACACCATAAGATATGCAGATGACGCATTGTTGATAGCAGATACGGAAAGAAAGCTACAAAAACTCCTACAGAAGATAGTGAAGGAAAGCGAGAAGAAAGGACTAAACATAAACGAAGAGAAGACAGAATGTATCGTTGTTAGTAAAAGGGAACAGCCTAATATGCAAATTACAAATTGGAGATACCAAAATGAAACAAGTACAGAAATTTAAATATCAGGGAAGTGTTTTTGACAGATGACGCAAAGTGTGACAGTGAAATCCGATGGTGCATTGGAATAGCGAAAGATGCTTTCTAAAAGACGAGCAATGTATTAAGAAACAGGAAAATTTCGTTCGAAACAAAACAGAGTACTGAACTGATATGTTATATCAGTCCTCCTATATGGCAGCGAATGCTGAACAATCACGGATGAAGCAAAAGAAATCTGGTTCTACAGAAGGATGCTAAGAATACCATAGGCCGAACGTGTGAGCAACAACGAAGAAAAAAGTAAAGGGAACGACAGAAGACCAACTAAGTTTTATAGTAAATTAAAAAAAAGAAAGGTTTTATTAAAATTTTAGTGATTTGGTCAGTGGGCAAAAAGGAAAAAAAAGACTTACTGGCAAGAAGTTAAATATACTTCAACAAAGTAACTCCAATCGGGTGTTGCAGCTGAACTTTTGCGGTATAATTTACTTATAAGGTCAGCGAATGATAGTAATCCGACTGCACTGAAGCAGATTTCTACAACAACTGACTTCGCCAGTCAACTCACTTAATTTTGGCACCAACCAACGGATACGAATACCCGAATGAAAAGCTCCTCTTGTAAGGTCACCCAACCACAACAAAGAGTTTTTTGAAGTTTTTATCTAAATGATCCAGAATTCGGTGAAGTTTATTTCATAAAGACATCTTCTCTTAACACTTGCCCTGCTCCTACTAAGTGCGGACTATTACTCACTTTACTAGTGAATTAAAATACAGGTTTTTGAATTTGGTGGCATAGTAACTGTGAGTTCACTCCCTAGGCTGGGTAGAACAGACTTAAACTCAGTGGACTTGAAATAACTAACAGAAGGAGATAGGCTCGATTATCGTCCCTCCCAGACTTTTGAACAGATGTATAAGTTTATCCCTTGTTTCCTGTTTAGGACCAGGTTTCCGGTTCATTCTAAAGGCTTCTCATTCTCTTTCACTCTCAGTAGCCCTTACGTCTTAGAGGCATTATTGCCTTGATTGGGGTGAATTGAT